TCGAACTACGGTCTGTATGGTCCAGTACCGGGATCTGCACAGAAAGTGCAGAGTGCAGTATGAGTACAACCGACCCCATGTACTTGTAAGTGCCGAGCCTAACCTCGACGAAATAGTGACGAGGCTAAGACACGACAACCAACATAAACGTATGCAGTTAAACAATATACTAACAAAATAACAATAATAGAAGCTAAACAGAAATTAACAGGAAGGGGCAACATGTTATGGGGGTATCAGAATCAGGAATCACAGTAGTAACAGAAATTAAACAATTAATGCACTTGAACAGATAACAACAAATAATAACAGCAAACACAAAATGCACGACATCACCCTTCGTGCTTTTACTCTCAATCCTCACTATGCAATCAATAATAGACATGTGCATTGCATCACTCTTCGTGCTTTATCACTCTTCCTCACCATATGAATAATAGAAATGTGCACGGCATCACCCTCCGTGATTTATCTCTCTTCCTCACTGTATGCATTAATATAAATATAAATGTGGACGACATCACCCTTTGCACTTTATCACTCTTCCTCACCATATGCATAAGTATGAATGTGCACGGTATCACCATTCGTGCTTTATCACTCTTTCCTCACCCAAATAGTAGAAACAATAACATCCCGGCAAGGGAATCAACAATAGAAACAATAACATCCCGGCAAGGGAATCAACTATAACCAATCTCGTTTCAACAGTTAACTTCACAAAACTCAAGCCTCAAAACTCAAGCCTCAAATACTCGACACCAACGTATAGATACTCGTCACCACGCATATACGCCGTACTAAGCATTAACATGTAGCAAATAAGACAACAATACTTATTCCCTTAAGCTAAGGTTAGATCAAATACTTATCTCGATTTCACGGCCAAACTCAAGCCTCAAATATCGCTTTCTCCTTAGTTTCCACTTCCAATTCGCCCGAATCTATTCATAATTTACTTATTAACATTAATTGAAGCCAAAGAAACCAATTCAAATGAAAAACTGTAGATTTCCCAACATTCTTCACAAAAAGTCAAAATTCGACTCTGGTCCCGCTTGGTCAAAACTCGAAGTTCGGACCAAAACCCGATTACCCATTCACCTCCAAGTTCAGAGATGTAATTAGTTTCGGAATCCGACCCCAAATCGATGTCTAAATTCTCAAATTTGCAAAATCCTCATTTTCCCCAAAATCCCTAATTTCTACCCTTAAAGAAAACGATTTAGGCCAAAAACTCTAATGTGTATTGATAGAAAATGAAAGAGGTGAGTTTAAGAACACAAACCTATGATTTGGTGTTGAATCCCTACTTCAAAAATCGCCCAAGATCGAATTCTATGGAAGAAGATATGAAATTTTGATCTAATCCCAACCTAGGTTTTGTTTTAAAATCACTGGACAGGTCTTATTCGCGTTCGCAAGACACACTACGCGTTCGCGAAGGTATTTCCCCCTAACCTTCACGTTCGCAAGCCGCTGGCCGCGTTTGCGTAGTGTATCAATACCCTCCCCAGGCCCTTGCCAAATGGCTTTCGCGTTCGTAATAGCCAGGTCGCGTTCGCGAAGGGTAACGCCCCCAACGCTCCGCTTTCGCGACCTGTGCCTCGCGTTCGCGTAGAAGGAATTTTCCCTCAGACAATTTTACTCTTCGCGTTCGCGAGAGTTCCTTCGCGAACGCGAAGAAGGATACATATGTGCACCTGCAACAACAAAATAGCAGAAATCTCTAAGTCCAAAACACCCCGTGGTCTATCCAAAACACACTCGAGCCCTCGAGGTTCCAAACCAAACATGAATAAAAGTCTAAAAACATCATACGGAGTTGCTCGCGCGATCAAATTGCCAAAATAACACCTAAAACTACGAATTTAGCATCAAAATCAATGACAATTTCAAGAACTCTTAAAGTTTATATTTTCACAACCGAGGGTCTGAATCACGTCATATAAACTCCGCTTCTTACCAAATTTCACAAATATATGTTATATACCATATCAAACCTGTACCGGGCTCCGAAACCAAGATATGAGCTCAATACTATCAAAATCAAGCATTGTTAAATTTCTAAAAACTATCATATTTCCAGTTAAATAATTTCTTCAAAAATTCATTTCTCGGGTTAGGGACCTCGGAATTCAATTCCAGGCATACTCCCAAGTCCCGTATTTTTCTATGGACCCTTCGGGACCATCAAATCACGGGTCTAGGTCCGTTTACCCAAAATATTAACCGAAGTTAACTTAACTCATTTTTAAAGGTAGATTTCAATATTTTTCTTAAATTTCACATAAGGGCTTTCCGGAAACGTGCTCAGACTGCACACGCAAATCAAAAAGAAAAAAATGAGGTTTTCAAGATCTCGGAACCCGAATTCGGATTCTATAACAAGTGATGACCTAAACTTTTGGGTCTATCACATAATATTAGCCAACAAAATATATATGTATATTATATGTATTATATACATATAACATACATATTTTTTAATACTTTTTAGCTAACGAATATGATTAGTTTTGACCGACTGGTCAATTTATATTTTACTATTTCTAATACCTCCTCCAACCCTGCGCCAATTTTTATGCCAAATGCTATTTTGGTGTAAGATTTGGTGTAAGATTTGGTGTAACACTATTATCAACATTACTATCCATCAATATTTTATTATTATTATCTTTTACTACATAACACTTTATTTTAACATATTATAAATTTTGTAATTACTTATACTTTTATGTGATATCTTTATAATATTAATTTTACATCTTAATTTTGGTGTATAATTTTTATAATTAATTTTTGTATATATTATGTATAAAATTATAAGTTAATTCTATTATAAGTTATAATTATATAAAAAAAATATAACCTTTACAAAAATAAAAAGTGCAAATATAAAATATAATATATTGTTAATAAATAACACAATATTCATTAAATAACATAAAAATAAATATTTAATATAGTAGCGACTGGCATAGATTAAAATTGAAAATACATTAAATAACATAATGTGATGAAAAAATTACAACAATAATTTAATACACTGGTAGGTCGCTTCTAGATCCACCAATATCATTAAATTATTCAGTGTATAAGCTAGAGGATTGTTGTGGTTGTGACTATTAAAATTGTTGACCTCTTTTATCCATTATTCCTGAAAGTTGAATATTTATGTAGAAATTAAACAGAACCAACATGTAATACTTATTTAATTATATCTTATCAATAATTTCACTTTTATTTGAATTAACCATTAATATGTATAATGTATAATATTTGCTTACATTATTTAAAAACTTATGGTATAAAATAATTTTATATTGAATGATTATATAAGAAAGGAATATAAATTATATGAAATATATAGAAGAGAGAAGAATATACAGAGATATTCTTTTTTGGTGTAAAAATAGTATAATGAGTTGGAGTTAATTTGCACCATTTTGATATTAAAAAAAGAAGAAGAAAAGGGTCATATATATGCAAGTGAACTATGCGAATTAGGATAGATATGTCCGTCGTTAATAGTTTAGTACAGATATGCCCAATACTTGCTCATGCATGTCCTTAGTTTAACGGAACTACTATTTTGTCTTTCTTAAATAATTAGTAACCGGACTCAACCAATATCTGCTAACCTGATCCGTTAGGACCCGATCCACCTTTATTTCAAAGATATTTTTTGATATATTATTTTTGTTTGATTGAGAAATTGTGTGATAATCATATTTATTATATGAATAATTTGATAATCGTTTTTTTTATTACCCGAAAATCCTACTAAAAGAAATAATAAATATTTTTTTATTTTAATAATATAATATTCGAATTAGTTTGTGCTTTCTTCAATCATTTTACCATCTATTTTTATTTTTCTTAGTGGTGCTTGAAATGAAATAATATATTATGAAATAATTAATTAATAAAAACGGAAAAGAAGCACCACTTTTTAAAATAATTTATTAATTATTTCATAGCAAATTTGTAATGCACAAAATAATCCAATAAACTAATAATCAATCATATAATAAACACTTATCTAAACTAAAAAAAACGGATCCATCAGGTTAAGTTATAGTGACATGGAGTTATTTGTATTTGTCTTAGTGAAAAATACAAATAGATTGTGAGAAAATAAAATTAGATGGTGAAGAAAGCACAAACTAATTCGAATATTATATTATTAAAATAATAAATAAATATCAATTATACTTTTAGTATGATTACTTCCCGAAATGATGTATAACAAAAAAAAAATCAATTATCAAATTACTCAAATAAATAAATGTGATTATCACACAATTTCTCAATAAAAAAAAATAATATATCAAAAAATATCTTTAAAATAAGGGTAGGTTGCGTCCTAACGGATCGGGTCAGCATATTTTGGTTGGATCAGGTTATTAATTATTTAAGAAAGATAAAATAGTGGTTCCGTTAAACTAAGGGCATAAATGAGCAAGTATTAGACGGATTGAACATATCTGTGCCAAACTATTAACGACGGACTGTTCTAATTCACACAGTTCACAGGCATATATGACCCTTTCCCGTTAGAAAAAGGTTCAAAGGGTTTGAAGATGCCATAAGAGAAATTCTATAAGTCCCTTTTACGCCAACTCTTGTCAGGGAGGGAGCAAATGAAAGGCCTGCCATATGTGCCTCGGGAGCCCTGACTCATTCAAATAAATGTTATGTCGACCAAGGACAAGTGATTGATCAAGTCATTAAACTTAATCATCAACATGGATGCAAGCAAATTTCCATTGTAATATATCACATAATCCAGAAATGGAGAACAAGAACTCAAATTTCCATTGTAGGAACAAATTTGTATTGCTGCAATTACAATTTCAATCATCAACAAGAGGACTCCATAAGAGTAGCAATTTCACTCTTTTTCCCCCACTCTCATATGGAATATCACTTATTCATTGAGAAGTAAATCATTGGCTTACAATAACAAGATGGCTATTTTTGTGAAAAAAGTTATCTCAGAGATCATTTTCTACATCACAGACAGAAATACTAAGATCATCCAATTCACTAAATTCACCTAATAAAAATCCATAATTATCAACAATTGGAACCCCCAATTTCAATGAAAAATAAACTTCTTTATCATCTGAAATTTGTATCCACTGCCCCATCAACAATTCTTCAACCCCATTTGATGAATCTGAGGTCTGACTCTCAAGTTCAGATTTTTCAGAAATAGCCTTCTTTGTTTTTGCAATTTTGGCCATTTTTAATTTTCCCTCAAACTCAAGTTTCTTAGACTGATGAACTTGAGAAGCCTCTTCAGCAGTATTAAAAGTACCCAACCAAATTCTTTTCTTGTTAAATGGGTCTCTAATCTCAGCGCAATACTTTCCCCATTTTCTCTTTCGAACCCCAGATGGCAATTTGCTAGAAAAAGTTGTAGTTTTTACCTTATCTTGAAAAATTTCATGAACAGTGAGCTTTGGCTGCTGTTTTCTTGATTGTCTCTTTCCTTGTTCCTCTTCTTCTGAAGATGATGATTCTGTAGCATCTGGGTCTGAGATTTTTATTATTATTTTTCTCTGAATTTTGATTGGTTCATCTTCTCGTCGTTGTTTTCCATTATTTTCTTCTGCAATTTTGGGTTGCGATTTCATGGTCAAAAGGTAAAAAAAAGAAAAAACCCTTCGGTAAAAACAAAGAGGAGAAGACACACATAGGTGGTGTTGAGGTTTAGTGATTGATTCCTTTGAGGAACCATCGTTTTTGTAAATGACATTAAGCCCACGAAATAAGGAAAAGAAAAATGTTTTTTTTAGTTGCTTGAAATTTGCATGGATGCCCTAATTAATCAGGATTTAGACTTGTAAATCCCAATTAAAGAGGGAGCGCTTCTTATTTTAGAACTCCAACTCAAAATTTCTTACTCAAAATTAGGGGTGGATCCAGGATTTTAAGGCGATAGGGGCATAGTAAAGGCAATTAGGAGCCCATCGTCCAAATTCATTAAAATCGTGTGGATATTAGCACATGAAAAAATCAAAATCGTCGTGAATTCCTGTTTTACGGTCCTAAAATGGCAAAAAACTAGAAACACGAAAAGAAGTAACTATTGTTCATAAAATCGTTTCTGAGGGTCCCACCAAATTTTAGGCGATTCGGAGTCCGTCGCATGAATTCATCAAGATGACATAGATATTAGCACACAAAAATTGAAAATCATTTTGAATTCCTGTTTTGTGGCCATAAAACGCCAAAAAACGAGGAACAATCATGGCAAAGAATGACTATTGTTCATTAGGCCTTTTCTGACGGGCCACAAAATTTTAGGCGATATGAAGTTTGTCTCCCAAATTCATGAAAATGGTGTGGACATTAGCACATGAAAATTGGAAATCGTCTTGAATTCCTGTTTTATGGTTCTAAAATGCCAAAAATGAAGAACGAACATGGTGAAGAAATTCATTACATCGTTTTTTAGGGACCTACAAAATTTTAAGTGATTTAGAGCTCGTCGCCCGAATTCATGAAGATGACATAGATGTTAGCACACGAAAAATTATAAATCATCTAAATTTCTATGTTTTGGTCCTAAAATACCCCAAAAAAGAAAAATCATGGTAAAAAATGACTATTGTTCATTAGGTGATTTTTGATACGCCCACAAAATTTTAGGCGATTTGGAATCCTTCGCCCAAACTCATGAAGATGACATGGACACTAGCATAAGAAAAATCGAAATCATCTAGAATTTCTGTTTTATGACCCTAAAATATAAAAAAATGAGGAACGGTCATGACAAAGCAGTAAATATTGTCCATTAGGCCGTTTCGATGAAAATAAAAAATTTATTGATTACCACGAAACCAACTTATAGTGGAACTTCAAAACAAAACATAAACAGAGAAACATCAGCCCCTACAACTAATCTTCTCCTAGGTGCCTATTCTTGCTATCTGTATTCTTCTATCCATTCTCTAGCCTTGTAATGTTGTCCTCTATTTACACTTTCAAATGCTCTATATTTACAATCTTGTTTAAGCTGGGGACCCCTTTGTTGCCACAGCGCTTCATTCCTAGCCGTCCAAATTCCATAGACAAGTGCAACTAGTACAATCATCATAAAGGATCTATTAACTCTTCCCTTCACATTTTTCGTGATTCTTCTCCACATGCCTTGCATATTTGTGTTTCTCACATGAATTTTCGACCATTGGAGAACTTCAGTTAGGCATATCTTAGAGAATTGACAGTCAAATATTAAGAGCTCTACAGACTCAGTTAAGCTCCCACATAAGAGGCATGTAGTATCTTGGCATATCCCCATCCTGCTCAGCCTCTCCTTCATCTGTAACTAGTACATTTATCCGCGCTTCGCGCGGCAAGTTAGTGAATTTAGAAAAGAAAATTTTAATAACACAAATTTAGATAGAAGAGATAAAATATTTATTTTCTTGGAGACAAAACTATTTTCCTCTACTAACAGAAAGTATAAAGAAAGAAAAAAAACGAACTATCCAGTAAGTTGATCCAAAGAAATCGATCAAAAGGAAAAGAAAAATTATTTTTCTTTTGGATTGAATGCTGCTCCTATCAAGGAATATATGTCAGATCCTATTTTGATATTATTTGGTTTCACTGAGCCATGTTATATATTTACTATTATTTAACCAAGGTTTTAGGTAAGATGAACTGTGGCCTTCTTGATGCACTATGATATATGGTATAATCTCAAATATCTCGCTTCAAAGGTTACTAAGGTTATTTTAATCCTATTATCAAAAGAGAAAAGGAAATCATTTTGTTTAAATCAAGTGAAACAACAACAACAATAACAATAGAAAAGAAAAACAACACTTATAACTATGATATTATAAGTATTTAAATCAGAAAATCACCAGAGAATTGCTTATCATGAATACCATAATTAGAGGACTGATATAAATTAATAAAATACTTCTAGTTCAATCACTTTAGTCGTCAAATTTTACGATAAGTTAGGAAATGTAATAGAGATTTTCTTTTAAATCTTGGATCAATGCTCTCATATTCATACGGGTGAGTAGACATGAAGCATACCAAACAAACAACAACAATAACAACAAACCCAGTTTGATCCCAATATGTGGGGTCTGGGGAGGGTAATTTGTACGCAGACCTTACCCCTACCTAATGCAGGTAGAGAGGATGTTTCCAATAGACCCTCGACAAGAAGGGCAAGAAGAGGAAGAGGGAAGCAAGGAAGGAAAAGGATGGAAGAGAAAAAGGGGAGATAAAGGATAAGTAGTATCAAATAATAGCAAGGGAATACAATACCTGAGGCGAACAAAATCACATATCGTAACAAAAATCTAAGAATACGAAGGGACATGCACGCTACTAAGCCTATCGGTAAACACTATAAACTACCTACTAACCTTCTACCTTAATCCTCGACCTCCACACCCTCCTATCAAGGGTCATGTCCTCAGTGAGCTGAAGCAGCGCCATGTCCTGCCTAATCACTTCTCCCCAGTACTTCTTAGGCCTACCTCGACCCCTTCTCAAACTCTCCATGGCCAACCTCTCACACCTCCGGACAGGGGAATTAATGCTTCTTCTCCTAACATGTCCGAACCATCTCAGTCGCAACTCTCGCATGTTGTCCTCCACGGAGGCTACTCCCACTCTGTCCCGGATAGCTTCATTCTTAAACCTATATCGCCTAGTACACCCACACATCCATATCAATATCCTCATCTCTGCTACTTTCATCTTCTGCACGTGGGAGTTCTTGACTGGCCAACACTCAGCCCCATACAGCATAGCAGGTCGAACCACCACTCGATAAAACTTACCCTTAAGTCTTAACGGCACAGTCCTATCACATAGGACACCAGAAGCGAGCCTCCACTTCATTCATTCCGCTCCGATGTGATGTGTGATATCTTCGTCAATCTCCCCGTCACCCTGTATAATAGACCCGAGATACCAAACAAATACAAAAAAAATATATTTCAATAAAAATTGTGACATGAACTAATGTTATTGGCATTACTACCAGAATGATAAGTTCTACGAAGATTTTTTATAATGAAGTATGAGAATTGGTCTTTGAGAAGCACATCTAACATTCGTTTAAGTTGACCTCTTCCTGAATGCTCAACAATTGAAGTGCATAATTAACATACCATATGTTGTGCCGGGTAAGAGAAAAAGCATCACATTGAGTCTGAAACCTAAATAATGGTATTTTGGACTCAAAATTTCTTTATACAGTTAAAAAAATTTACATTTCTAACTAAAATGCAGTATTATACTGTGTTTTAGTTTATCGAAAAGTTAGCCGTTAAAGGAAAACGTTGTATAATATTGCATTTTAATTAATAATTCATTTTTTTAATGTAAAACGCAGTATAATACTATGTTTTATTAAAACGTTGTACATAACAAAAAATTATGGCCGGGCGACTAAAAAAATAACTATCATATATTATTGAGAAAATTCTCCCGTAAAAATATGTTAATAGATGATATGTTTGTCAATTCTTTTAATTTTTACTAACTATATATTTACTTATAAAAAATATAACAAAGTAAGAGTGAAATAATATCCATGTAAGAAAAAATCCGACAAAACCGAACCACTCCAAACCGATATAATTGATTTAGTTTGGTTTTGATAAAAATCAAACTAACCCGGTCCATGTACACCGTACCCCTAGTTATAGTCACAAAACATTTTATGCCTACATTTTATGTCATTGTTCTGGTATCTATTGAATTCCCCTTATGTACACAGTGGAAGCTTTAGCATATTTGAAGAATGAAAATTTTGTATTACAGACTTTACAGTGAATATTTCCAATGAAAAACACATTTTGCTCGCACCAAATCCTCTACAATTTATATTGATGAAAAGAGAAAAAAAGTAAAATGAAGAAAGAGGGATGAAGCGTGAGTGCCATGAGAAAGAGAGTGTACTTAGCTATGCCACAGTATGTAGTGAGTTTTCGATTTTAATTAATCTTCCAGACATAAATGAGAAGGTGGCTAGAAGACTTTATAGCCAATGAACATACACCTTCGTTCATTTTGTCAAAAGAAGATTAAAAAATGAACAGTCACTTTTCTTCATTAGTAGAGAAAATGAAACTTATAGACAATGAGCAATTACTTTTTTATTTTCTGGAATTAGTTAAACTTGAAAATTAGAGTAAATAGCAAAAAAATGTGATAAAAGATAAATGGTTTTCCTAATCATATAGAGTGTCATGTCACCTGCCTTAAGCCCCTGTATTATATAAATATATAGATTTCCTTTGCATAGCCAACCAACATATGAGACTATATCTGGGTGCATTCATATTGCTCCTCCACGCCCATCTACTCCATGCCCATCTACTCTCAGACCATCTTGGTACACTCCCTTTAAGCCATCTATACCCCCACCAATGGCAACATTGCAAGTTAGCCATCCATTTTTGATATACCCAGGCCCCAATTTATCTCTCATTGTGCAGATTTTTTTCCAGCACCAACAGCAGTCCTGGGGCTGTATATATTCCCACTAGTCCCTCCCCTTCAGGCACACGCGATCAACCCATTTTATCCACAAGTTATCTACTTTATTTGCTATATCCCACACATATTTAATTCCTAATTACAACCTCAATCC